TGTACATCTGGCGACCGTATCAGCATGCACTGCGCCCAGCCCGCCACAGGAGTCGCTAGTGCGCGATGGGACAAGAACATCCCTGCCGGCCGAACCCTCCCCTAACCTGGACGACGCTGGGCCAATTGTGCGCCGTCCCATGGGTCTCCCGGTCGCGGCCGGGTGCAACAGAGCAAATGCTCACCTTTGATGGCCACTTGCACGCTGGAGAAGTGTGCTCTTCAGTGTGCTATTGCTATGGACAACAAACACAATTGCATTTTATCGATGGCAATTTAAATGCACAGAGACACCGTGGCGAGATCCTGAAGCCCATTGTCCTGCCATTCATCCGCCGCCATCACCTCATGTTTCAGCATGATAATGAACGGCCCCATGTCACAAGGATCTGTACACAATTCCTGGAAGCTGAAAATGTCTCAGTTCTTCCATGGCCTGCATACTCACTAGACATGTCACCCATTGAGCATGTTTGGGACGCATGTACTACAGCGTGTTCCAGTTCCCGCAAATATCCAGCAACTTTGTACAGCCATTGAAGAGGAGTGGGACAACATTCCACCGGCCACAATCAACAGCCTGATAAACACTATGCGAAGGAGATGTGTCGCACTGCATGAGGCAAATGGTGGTCACAAACAGAAACTGACTTGTTTTCTGATCCACACCCCTACTTAAAAAAAAATAAAGGTATCTGTGACCAACAGATGCACATCTGTATTCCTAGTCATGTAAAATCCATAGATTAGGGCCTAATTTATTTATTTCAATTGACTGATTTCCTTATATGAACTGTATGTAACTAAGTAACATCTTTGAAATTGTTGCATGTTGCATTTATATTTTTATTCAGGGAAATTGACCTGACGTTGGTACAATTATTTGAATTCCATTGTTTTTTTGTTTTTTTGTGAGCTCAATGCGCTGCAGTTTCTCTAGAGATAAATCAGATCATGCCCGAACTGTGCGATGTAGTTGGGAGCTGTAGTTTCCAACAGGCCAACAATGTTCTAAATAGTTTAGCGCAGAAAACGTGATAATTAACTACAATGACCATAATCCATTGTGCGGCAAGTTGTTCAGTCTGTGTTTCTTTTATACCTGCTACGTAAGAGACAGAAGAATGCGCGATCAAAAGGGGATATATAGAGAGCAGTTGCTTTGCGAGATATTGGTATTCAGCAGTCATTTAAATAAGTATGCCTTATTTACTTTGAAGAACTACTAAAATAGTGATTTTGTCAGACAGCATAGGCAGCAGCTCTATAGAGATGAGATGACTTGGAATGAAATAATAAAGTCATCAAATAAAACAAATGTAATATACACAACAACTGGAATATTTTAATAAAGTAAAATATTGTGAGTAACTGATGGTTAATAAGTGATAAGCAGTCATGGGGAGTCACTACCATCATGGGACTTTTAGTACCCCTTGACTGTAGTCAAATGACCTAGTGGCCTCATGGGTGGAATGTTATTAATATTTTAAATAATTTCATAATTCATAAACATTATTTTTAAAAACCTGCAGAAAATCCGGTGTTTCTATGTTGAACAGTTTTGTTATATTTCAGTCTTCTGTGATGTATATAAAGTGTAATATTGTGATACAAACTCAAAATTGAATACATTTCAACTCTATATCTGACATGGTACAGGAGTCTTTTTTTTTAAGCCCATAACCATGTATGTGAGGTGTATACTTTTGTTTCAAAGTAGATTTGTTTAAGACTACCAAGAAACACTCTGTGTGACCCTGATTTAGCCCACTGCAGTAAAAGGTGAATCGTTTTATTCTGTGTTGTTACAGCATTCAACCCACATAATGCATAGTGCATTTAATGTTAAAAACATTAAATACAACAATTTTTTTCCTGATATGTTTTTAAAGAATCTAACCAAATCAGAACCGACTTCACTGTGTGGCGTCAGTATGCATGTTCACGCATGCCGTGTGTGTGTCGCATGTAGTGTGTGTGTATGTGTGTGTTGGGACCTCAGTGTAAGTTTGTGTGAGTACAGTGAGGGAAAAAAGTATTTGATCCCCTGCTGATTTTGTATGTTTGCCCACTGACAAAGACATGATCAGTCTATAATTTTAATGGTAGGTTTATTTGAACAGTGAGAGACAGAATAACAACAAAAAAATCCAGAAAAACGCATGTCAAAAATGTTATAAATTGATTTGCATTTTAATGAGGGAAATAAGTATTTGACCCCTCTGCAAAACATGACTTAGTACTTGGTGGCAAAACCCTTGGCAATCACAGAGGTCAGACGTTTCTTGTAGTTGGCCACCAGGTTTGCACACATCTCAGGAGGGATTTTGCCCCACTCCTCATTGCAGATCTTCTCCAAGTAATTAAGGTTTCGAGGCTGACGTTTGGCAACTTGAACCTTCAGCTCCCTCCACAGATTTTATATGGGATTAAGGTCTGGGGACTGGCTAGGCCACTCCAGGACCTTAATGTGCTTCTTCTTCAGCCACTCCTTTGTTGCCTTGGCCATGTGTTTTGGGTCATTGTCATGCTGGAATACCCATCCACGACCCATTTTAAATGCCCTGGCTAAGGGAAGGAGGTTCTCACCCAAGATTTGACGGTACATGGCCCCGTCCATCGTCCCTTTGATGCGGTGAAGTTGTCCTTTCCCCTTAGCAGAAAAACACCCCCAAAGCATAATGTTTCCACCTCCATGTTTGATGGTGGGGATGGTGTTCTTGGGGTCATAGGCAGCATTCCTCCTCCTTCAAACATGGCGAGTTGAGTTGATGCCAAAGAGCTCGATTTTGGTCTCATCTGACCACAACACTTTCCCCCAGTTCTCATCTGAATCATTCAGATGTTCATTGGCAAACTTCAGACGGCCCTGTATATGTGCTTTCTTGAGCAGGGGGACCTTGCGGGCGCTGCAGGATTTCAGTCCTTCACGGCGTAGTGTGTTACCAATTGTTTTCTTGGTGACTATGGTCCCAGCTGCCTTGAGATCATTGACAAGATCCTCCCGTGTAGTTCTGGGCTGATTCCTCACCGTTCTCATGATCATTGCAACTCCACGAGGTGAGATTTTGCATGGAGCCCCAGGCCGAGGGAGATTGACAGTTCTTTTATGTTTCTTGTAGCCCATTCCAGCCTTGTGTAGGTCTACAATCTTGTCCCTGAGCTCTTTGGTCTTGGCCATGGTGGAGAGTTTGGAATCTGATTGATTGATTGCTTCTGTGGTCTTTTATACAGGTAATAAACTGAGATTAGGAGCACTCCCTTTAAGAGTGTGATCCTAATCTCAGCTCGTTACCTGTATAAAAGACAACTGGGAGCCAGAAATCTTTCTGATTGAGTGAGGGTCAAATACTTATTTCCCTCATTAAAATGCAAATCAATTTATAACATTTTTGACATGCGTTTTTCTGGATTTTTTTGTTGTTATTCTGTCTCTCACTGTTCAAATAAACCTACCATTTAAATTATAGACTGATCATTTCTTTGTCAGTGGGCAAACGTACAAAATCAGCAGGGGATCAAATACTTTTTTCCCTCACTGTATGTGGGTAGAGTCCAGTGTGTGCATAGACTGCCATTCATTACAGTAAGAGGCTATAGCCAGACGCCTCTAGAAGTGGGGTTAGTCGCTGTTTACTTGATGAGATAGCAACATGTGGTCTTAAAAAGCAGTGGGCAAAAATGTTACAACTCTGTTAATCCTGTAACCCTGCAAGTCGCGAAAAGTACAAGTCAAACACAACTCTTGTCAAGATTAAGTTAGTCAAAAACCTTGCATTCTCCTTCCTAATCTACAGCTGCAGAAGTGCCCTCCAGTGAAGTTAACATAACATGGCCGACTACAAGAAAACGTTCCCATGCAGGCTCTGGGTGGCCCTTTAACATAGATCAAAGCTAGAGCAACATGAGACGTTACTCATGTATATTTGGCCACAGAAGCTGTATCTCTTTTCAGAAAGCATTCGTCTTCCCTCTAACGACATATGATGAGGGATCTCCGTCTCTGACTAACAGGGTCGTCTGGATTGTCTATGCGTGCCTCCCAAATGGCACCTTATTCCCTATAAGGCACTACTTTTGACCAGAGCCTTATGGACCAAGGGGAATAGGGTGCCATTTTGGACGCAGACTTTGTTTTGGCCCAAACCCCCGATAACACGATCCTTCTAACTAGGCAGGGGATGTTAGTGACTGGGCGTCCATTAGGCCTTTAGATCCCCATTACAACCCATGAGGGAATAGGCACGGTGCTACCTTGTCATTTAGGTACTACTGGATGTTAATGCCAGTGGTAATGACTGATTACTCAGGGTTTCAACCTCACAGTTTAGGGCCTTGAAAGCTGGTGCTGGTTGATGAGTAGTTCTAGTGGGCGGAGGCTGTTGGGAAGGTTATTGCGAAAACAAACTTATATCAATAGAGCGCATAGAAGGTGGAGGCAATGGCAAGTGGTTAAAAACTGTGGTCAGAAATGAGAAACCATAGCAATTAGAGCTGCATTTATGCATGCAAATGTAATGCTTTTGATAAACCTTTTAGGGATTTCTCGAAAACACAATTTTCTACTCTTGAAGTAGTTTTTGAGATTACCATTGTGTATTGTGTACTGAATCGGAATACAAGTCAGAGCCTATCATAAAGCTTCAAGATTCAAAAGCAGAGCACCAAAATACACATAATCTTATATTGCAAGAGAGGCTGACAATTGTGAGACCAGTTTCACAGCTCCCTATCCAGTATCCATATTGACCAACGCACTCACAGAATAGCTGTGCGTTAGAGCAGAGTGGAGAAGCAAGGTAAAATGATGTCAGCAGTAGGATCTCCTGACAGTAATCCAGTGTGATTGACAAAACTGACCTGTGGGGAAAGCTTTTAGCGCAACCCAAAGGTAAATGTATGGCAATGTGACCCAATTGATGTTTGGAGAGTGTGGTTTGGTTGAAAGAATGTTGTGTAAATGGCAGTCCTTGACCTTTTGTGGGAGTGCAAACGGAATCAGTCCAGGTCTGGTTTCTCAGACTTTCAGAATGATAAAGCTAGCTGATTTACAGGTAAATCATAATCAGTATGGATAAATTGCATTGCCTGTAGTGTTAGGATTGAACGTTCTTTTTTTTTTTTACCATTGTCATTGCTTTCGTGGAGCGAGGGTCAAAGCAAACGTGCTCTTCATGTCAACAACATAATTTTCCATCATATGTTTTCATACAGTGAAAAACATTTACACATTGCTTTTTCCAGAGTGGTTTTGTCTTGATACTACGTGGGTATGAAAGTTGCAAAATGTGAACAAAAATATAAACGCAACAATTACAGTTCATTACAGTTACAGTTCATATAAGGAAATCAGTCAATTGAAATAGATTAATTGGGCCCCTAATCTATGGATTTCATATGACTGAGAAAACCAGTCAGTATCTGGTGTGACCACCATTTTGCCTCATGCAGCGCGACACATCTCCTTCGCATAGAGTTTATCAGGCTGTTGATTGTGGCCTGTGGAATATTGTCCCACTCCTCTTCAATAGCTGTGCAGTCACTGGAAATTAGCAGGAACTGGAACACGCTGTAGTACATGCGTCCCAAACATGCTCAATGGGTGACATGACTGATGAGTATACAGGCCATGGAAGAATGGGAATTGTGTACAGATCCTTGCGACATGGAGCCGTGCATTATCATGCTGAAACATGAGGTGATGGCGGCGGATGAATGGCACGTCAATGGGCCTCAGGATCTCATCACTGTATCTCTGTGCATTCTAATTGCCATCGATAAAATGCAATTGTATTCATTGTCCGTAGCTTATGCCTGCCCATACCATAACCCCACCTTCACCATTGGGGCACTCTGTTCACAACGTTGACATCAGCAAACTGCTTGCTCACATGACGCCATCTTCCTGGTACAGCTGAAACCAGGATTCATCTGTGAAGAGCACACTTCTCCAGCGTGCCAGTGGCCATCGATGCTGAGCATTTGTCCACTGAAGTCGGTTACGACGCCAAACTGCAGTCAGGTCAAGACCCTGGTGAGGGCGACAAGCACGCAGATGAGCTTCCCTGAGACGGTTTCTGACAGTTTGTGCAGAGATTCTTCGGTTGTGAAAACCCACAGTTTCATCAGCTGTCCGGGTGGCTGGTCTCAGACGATCCCGCAGGTAAAGAAGCCAGATGTGGAGGTCCTGGGCTGGCGTGGTTACACATGGTCTGCGGTTGTGAAGCCAGTTGGACGTACTGCCAAATTCTCTAAAACGGCGTTTGAGACTTATGGTAGAGAAATTAACATTCAGTTCTCTGGCAACAGCTCTGGTGGACATTCCTGTAGTCAGCATGCCAATTACACACTCCCTCAAAACTTCTGACATCTGTGGCATTGCATTGTGTGACAAAATTGCACATTTTAGAGTGGACTTTTATTGTCCACAGCACAAGGTGCACCTGTGTAATGATCATGCTGTTTAATCAGCTTCTTGATATGCCACACCTGTCAGGTGGATGGATTATCTCAGCAAAGGAGAAATGCTCACTAACAGGGATGAAACAAATTTGTGGACAAAATGTGAGTGAAATATGCTTTTTTTGCGTATGGAACATTTGTGGGATCTTTCATATCAGCTCATCAAAGATGGGACCAACACTTTACATGTTGTGTTTATATTTTTGTTCAGTATATTTGACCTAGAAACTATGTCTGAACCACACTGGTAACTCAACACTGTGTGTGTGTGAGTGTGAGTGTGTGTGTGTGTGCGTACGTGCATGTTAATGTGTGCGTGTGTATGTGGACATGGACTCACCAGCACGCGGTCTCCCACTCGAAGGTCCTTATCCCCGCCTTTCTTGACCGAGCCGCTGTCGGACATGTTGGAACCTGACTCGTTACCCGTCTTCACCGAGCTGTTGAGCATCCCTTCCCTGAGTGGCATAACCACGCGCTGACCAGCGGGCGAAGCCCCGTTGACGCCATGGAGCGTCAGGTTCTGAGCTGTCAGCGAATCAGTGGAGTGGCCGTCGCTCCCTTCGCCCACCGGTTGCCTGGTGAGCTTGGAGGGGCGCGTGAAGATGCCCTGGTGTGACTGGCACTCAAAGTAGCGCACGCCGCCCACAGAGCCGTCATTTTTTCCCAACAGGTCGTTGAGGACCACCCCAGCCCACTGTCCCGGGGCGAACTGGGTCTCACCCAGGTAGGCGATGACGCCCGGTTTGACGCCGTTGACCCAGACGCGTTCGCTAACTACGTAGTCCCCCAGGACGTCGTCCCCCACCTCAGATGTCTTGGAGCACGACTTGTCTGAGGCATTGCTGCTGGGGAGTGGGGAGGTCTGCTTGTGTGGGGAGTCTGTGGGGGTAGAGAGAGATAGAGTATGAGATCATGTAGGCTACAACCATGGAATTCCTATTTACATTAATTAGTATGGTAGACATAGAGTATAGGTTACAATCAGATAATTCCTATATTCATTCAAATGGCGATGGATCTACAGTATGTATGGTCTTTGATTACAATGCTGTAGAGCAGTGCAGGCCATAGGAACAAAAGCGCTAAAGTGGGGAGAGAAAAGGCGATACATACAACTCTACAAACAAATAATGTGAAAAATAATCAACTAAACAATGTAGCTAGTCTAGAGGATTAATATGTTGTGTTGTATGCAGGTTACAGTCCAATATTATCATGCATGCAACACAAACTGCTGAAATAAGGAATTCAGTCATTATAAACACAAATGTAGAACATCTATACTAGTGATTCGTGGGTTTGACGCATAACCCACAGTACCCGCGGTTATATCCACGGGGCGGGCGGGTTTAGGGTCATGAAATATTGATTGGATGAAGAGCGGGTGGGTGGCGGGCGGGTTGAATAAATAGAAAACAATGCATTCAAAATCCTGTCACTCAAGCATCTATTTTTCCAATTTCGTCATATCACAAAACGGCTCAGTGAAGAATCGGCCCATGCTGCATCCAACACAACAGTGGAGTTTATGCGAGGTTAGCCATTACTCTACTTCTTAATGAAAACTGGGTCTGTGAGATTATCTCTAATGCAATGATGATTTGACCGGTGCTTTGATGTTTGACACATGCTGTTTAGATGAGCACTATCCATTCTGGTGAGAGAGACACGAGCTGTTAACTGTAGCAAGGCAGCTAAGCTGTGAGTGTGTGTGTGTGTGTGTGTGTGTGTGTGTGTGTGTGTGTGTGTGTGGGGGGGGGGGGGGGGGGGGGGGGGGGTACGGTTGGTGCCAGGACTGTCTCTCTGAAACCCCAAGAGTGGGGGATGGGGCCCAATGGCTGCTTTTATGCCCCAATTGCTCCCATATGTTGTGAGACTGATATTGTTTGCAAAATGGGTACTACTTTGAACAAAATAATGTGGGTTTTAGCTTTACCAATAGGCATGATAATTTAGTTTTTAAACTTAATGGGGTCTTACAATGGCATTTATGGAAGTACAGTGCCTTCAGAAAGCATTCACACCCCTTTAATTTTTCCACATTTTGTTGTGTTACAGCCTGAATTGAAAAGTTATTACATTTAGATTTTGTGTCACTGGCCTACACACAATACCCCATAATGTCAAAGTGGAATTATGTTTTTATACACTTTTACAAATTAATACAAAATGAAAAGCTGAAATGTCTTAAGTCAATAAGTATTCAACCCCTTTGTTATGGCAAGCCTAAATAAGTTCAGGAGTAAAAATGTGCTTAACAAGTCACATAATAAGTTGCATGGAAATAAGAGCAATAATAGTGTTTAACGTGATTTCCTCATCTCTGTAGTCCACACATACGATTATCTGTAAGGTCCCTCAGTCGAGAAGTGTATTTCAAACACAGATTCAAGCACAAAGACCAGGGAGGTTTTCCAATGCATGTATTGGTAGATGGGTAAAAAATGTAAACGCAAACATTGAATATCCCTTTGAGCATGGTGAAGTTATTAATTACACTTTGGATGGTGTATCAATACATGGAGTCACTACAATGATACAGGTGTCCTTCCTAACTCAGTTGACGGAGAGGAAGGACACCGCTCAGGGATTTCATAATGAGGCCGATAGTGACTTAAAAACAGTTACAGAGTAGAATGGCTGTGATAGGAGAAAACTGGGGATGGATCAACAACATTGTAGTTACTTCACAATAATAACCTAAATGACAGAGTGAAAAGAAGGAAGCCTGTACAGAATACAAATATTCCAAAACATGCATCCTGTTTTCAATAAGGCACTAAAGTAAAACTGCAAAACATTTGGCAAAGAAATGTACTTTATGTCCTGAATACAAAGTGTTCTGTTTGGGCAAATTCAACACAACACATCACTGAGTCCAACTCTTCATATTTTCAAGCATGGTGGTGGCTGCATCATGTTATGGGTATGCTTGTCATCAGCAAGGACTAGGGAGGAAAACCCCCCAGAATAGAGCTAAGCACAGGCAAAATCCTAGAGGAAAACCTGGTTCAGTCTGCTTTCCAAGACAAATTCACCTTTCAGCAGGACAATAACCTAAAACACAAGGCTAAATATACACTTACCAAAAGAACATTGAATGTTCCTGAGTGGCCTAGTTACAGTTTGGACTTAAATCCGCTTGAAAGTCTAAGGCAATACTTGAAAATAGCTGTCTAGCAATGATCAACAACCAACTTGACAGAGCTTGAAGAATTTCAAAAGAATAATGTGCAAATATTGTACAATCCAGGTGTGCAAAGCTCTTAGAGACTTACCCAGAAAGACTCACAGCTGTAATCGCTGACAAAGGTGATTCTAACATGTATTGACTCAGGGGGTTGAATATTTATGCAATCAAGACATATTAGTATTTTTTATATTTTTTTACAGATGTGTTTTACGTTAATTAATTAGAAATCCATACACTGTAATTGCATGAAGAGTGATTATAACGTCAATCTTGATGGGTTACATTTTAACATTTACATTTTAGTTATTTAGCAGACGCTCTTATCCAGAGCGACTTACAGTTAGTGAATACATATATATATATTTTTTTCATACTGGTCCCCCGTGGGAATTGAACCCACAACCCTGGCGTTGCAAACGCCATGCTCTATCAACTGAGCTACATCCCTGCTGGCCATTCCCTCCCCTACCCTGGACAACGCTAGGCCAATTGTGCGCTGCCCATACAGAATACAATAATGTTGTACATAAAACAAAATCAAACAATGTCATTAAGGCAAGTGTATTTTGATGCCAACACAAAATACACACTTGATTCATCATAAGTGGCCTGGGTGTTTCAGCAGGTATATAAGTAGGAAAAACATCAGTATCTAGCTTGTGTGGAGATTATGTTCAAGCAGCACTGATAAATTCACACTTTAGTCTTAATTGGCAAAGACTAGCAGATGCGATGCTGGATGAAACCCTGTCTACGTCCCAAATGGCAAACTATTCCCTATGTAGTGCAGTGCTACTTTTGACAAGGACCCATTGGGCTCTGGTCAAAAGTAGTGCACTATTTAGGGAATATGTGGCCATTTGGGACGCAGCCCCTGCTTCTAACAGCTACTCTTTCTGACCATAACTAATGTGTGTTTGAAAAGGCCTATTAAATCTGAACTTCCATTTTATTTGGGACTCTTATAGAAATGGGCATAGCCTCTGATTTTCAGTTGCTAGTGTACATTAAAATGTACCCTTCATATTTCAAGTTATTATACCTTCAAAACACAAATACTTTTTTTTACCAAACAAAGCTTTGCACATCTGCTACACGACTATGAGGACAATGTTCCTGTGAGGTCATGTGTGTGTGCTTGTGTAGGTAATGTGTGTGTACTATGCAGTATGTTTGTGTTGGTGTGTATGTGTGAGGTAATAAAGTATGTGCAATAGCAGGTGCTATATGTAATGTCATGTGCAGTAGCAGGGTGTGTGTGTGTGTGTGTGTGTGTGTGTGTGTGTATGTGTGTGTGTGTGTGTGTGTGTGTGTGTGTGTGTGTGTGTGTGTGTGTGTGTGTGTGTGTGTGTGTGTGTGTGTGTGTGTGTGTGTGTGTGTGTGAGCACGCTCCTGCTTGTGCATGTTGTGTGTGTCACATGTGTAAGCTTTGTCAACACCATGTGTGCCACGTCACACAGAGAAAAACCCTACCCACCCCCTTCTCCCTCTACAAGTCCCAGCCAGACAAACAAGCACGCACCCAAAAGACTGTTGCAGTGCTAGTCCCAGTGGCTGGGAGATCGAAGGGAAAATGAGGCGGGCAGGAGGAAGAGCAAGAACACAGGCCTATATTTCACTATTGTGCCTGGCCACCTCCCACCACCATCTGAATCCCACAAAATCACCCCACCACAACTCCTTAAAAACACCCCCTCCCTCCCCTTCACACTCCCTCGCTCTTCTCTTGCTCTCTCCCTCTCTCTCTCTCTGCCTCTTTCTCTTCATCTCTCTCTCTCTCTCTCTCTCTCTCTCTCTCTCTCTCTCTCTCTCTCTCTCTCTCTCTCTCTCAATTTAAGGGCTTTATTGGAATGGGAAACATATGTTAACATTGCCAAAGCAAGTGAAGTAGATAATAAACAAAAGTGAAATAAACAATGAAAATTAACAGCAAACATTCCACTCACAAAAGTTCCAAAAGAATAAAGACATTTCAAATGTCATATTATGTGCAAATAGTCTCTCTCTCTCTCTCTCTGACTAAGAACTGAAAGCTTTCAGAGACTTAAAAATCAAATCAAATTGTATTTGTCACATGCGCCGAATACAACAGGACCTTACAGTGAAATGCTTACTTATAAGCCCTTAACCAACAATGCAGTTTTAAGAAAAATAAGTGTTACGAAAGTATTTAATAAAATAAACTGAAGTAAAAAGTAGATAAGTAAAAAATTGAAAAATATGAAAAAATAGAAAAATAACAAATAATTAAAGAGCAACAATAAAATAACAGTAGTGAGGCTTTATACAGGGGGTACCGGTACAGAGTCAATGTGCGGGGGCACAGGTTAGTCGAGGTAATTAAGGTAATACGTACATGTAGGTAGAGGTAAAGTGACTATGCATAGATAATAAACCGAGAGCAGCAGCACCGTAAAAAAGTGGGTGGGGGGGGGGGGGGGGGACAATGCAAATAGTCCGGGTAGCCATTTGATTAGCTGTTCAGGAGTCTTATGGCTTGGGGGTAGAAGCTGTTAAGAAGCCTTTTGGACCTAGACGGTAGCAGAGAGAACAGTCTATGACTAGGGTGGCTGGAGTCTTTGGCAATTTTTAGGGCCTTCCTCTGACACCGCCTGGTATAGAGGTCCTGGATGGCAGGAAGCTTGGCCCCTGTGATGTACTGGGCCGTATGCACTACCCTTGCGGTCGGAGGCCGAGCAGTTGCCATACCAGGCTGTGATGCAACCAGTCAGGATGCTCTCAATGGTACAGCTGTATAACTTTTTGAGGATCTGAGGACCCATGCCAAATCTTTTCAGTCTCCAGAGGGGAATAGGCTTTGTCGTGCCCTCTTCACGACTGTCTTGGCGTGTTTGGACCATGATAGTTTGTTGGTGATGTGGACACCAAGGAACTTGAAGCTCTCAACCTGCTCCACTACAGCCCCGTCGATGAGAATGGGGGTGTGCTCGGTCCTCCTTTGTCTTGATCACGTTGAGGGAGAGGTTGTTATCCTGGCATCACACGGCCAGGTCTCTGACCTCCTCCCTATAGGCTGTCTCATCGTTGTCCAAGTTGAAAATTACTTTGGCTTCCCTAATAATAAACTGATGTTATTTCCTCATAAAAATACTAGAGCAAATGTGACTTGTTTCAGGAAACTAGGTGTATGTCGCGCCTCACTAGTTCACAGGAGCGCCATTTGAACGTAAACTTATTTTTTTATCAAAATGCGTTTTGGGGCAGAAATGCCTTCTGGAACATGTGAACTATCATGTGCCTTAATAACAAACGTATATGCCATCTGTAAATACGAATACAATTGTTAAATTACAAGTCTAGTTGGTTTAGCCACGGACAAAGACAGCAACCTTCCCGCTAGCCATGATTGGCTGAGATAATGAGTGGGCTGGACATGCAGAGAGATGAGTTCAGATTGGTCTGCCATGTAGCACGCTTCTGTCTATAACATGAGCTGGTC